CTGCCCTCTAGATGGAGTCCCTATTCAGTGCAATGTATTATTGGCATTCCTCGCTGTTCAGACGCCTTGTGTCATTACCCACACTTTACCCCACCCCAACAGAACCGGTCGATCGACTCCCGGTGGTGTAACCGATTGTACGGCGTGAACCAGATGTATTGTGACTCCCATTTGATTCTCTAAAACTTAATAATAATAAAACACATTTGAAGTAAGGTTCATTTACAACAGAAATTAATATGCAAAGGAAAAAAAACTGTTAGGGGTCAATTCATTGGGGCGGGGTGGTGGTGGGGGGGGGGATCACAATAAATCTGGACCACCCTGTACACTGTTGCGGTGGACGGATGCGTGGCAGGATGTAAGAGTCACGCAGCGTTTGTTTCAAGTGCCTAGCCGGGAGATTGGATCGAACCCGCAACCTTCTGGATTTTCCAAGTCCAGTGACGCTAACCCCACGGCAACCCAAACTATAAATATGTAAAACGTCTACAGAGGCATTCCAATTGTGTCACCTTGAAGCGTCCGGTCTTTCTCGAGCTCTCGATAATTGAATTCGAGGACACTTCAGATTAGACAAGCACCAGATGTTACAGAAAATCGCAAACTTGCTAATTCGAACAAAAAAACAGGTCTAATATACAGCTTACCTAATTTACTTTGTCCATAAAGCTGTGAATAACTTGATTAGATTATACAGGGTGGAGGTGGGGTGACCTGGATAATACCTGATGACCCACATATAGATTTTCATTTTTAATCTTAGTTCTTTCGGTAAAGTCACGTTGAAGGGAAACAATAAAATAATAAAATATATCTAAAACAATAAAAAAATTCTCACGACGTTTCGACCATAACACAAACGGTCGTCATCAGGTGTGTCGGTTTGCATAAATTTTAAACGGTGTATTTATTTATTTATAAAAAACGTTAGCGCCACGCGCAGCGATTTGGCAGTTTATTTAGAAGGACGAGTCCATCTATGTTCTGAAAAGAGGAGGGGGAGACGAAAAATGTTAATGTATGCTGTCTGAAAGCCACCGTAAGTATGAACAATCAATTAAGACCTGAAATGGTTTATCAAATCCTTCCAATGATTGCTAAGCCAGAATCCATCTTCTCGGTTGAAATTGTCTCTGTGCTTGTATATGTGGATAGCCTCATGAACGAATCTCTCATGGTAGCCAGATGGCTTACAAAGAACCTCTGTCTTGGAAAAGTCAATGTCATGTGAGTCTACCATCACTTTACCCTACATTGTGGGGATCACAAAAAAGATCTCCAAAATCTTGAATAAACACAAGATCCAGGTCCGTTTCAACACATTACATAAAATCCGTGATCTGGTTCCGTCTGTAAAAGATGTGATTCCGGACATACAATACCCTGGTGTCTACAAACTAAGTTGCCTCTGTGGTAGTAGTTACATTGGAGAAACCAAACGCCATGTCTCGGACCGCATTCGTGAACACAAAGCAGACCTTAAACACGGTAGGACCAACACCTCGGCCGTGGCAGATCATTGTTATAATTCAGTAGGCTCACATGACATTGACTTTTCCAAGACAGAGGTTCTTTGTAAGCCATCTGGCTACCATGAGAGATTCGTTCATGAGGCTATCCACATATACAAGCACAGAGACAATTTCAACCGAGAAGATAGATTCTGGCTTAGCAATCATTGGAAAGATTTGATAAACCATTTCAGGTCTTAATTGATTGTTCACGCTTACAGTGGCTTTCAGACAGCATACATTACAATTTTTCGTCTCCCCCCCCCCCCCCCCCTCTTTTCAGAACATAGATGGACTCGTCCTTCTAAATAAACTGCTAAATCGCTGCGCGTGGCGCTAACGTTTTTTATAAATAAATAAATACACCGTTTAAAAATAAATAAATTTATGCAAACCGACACACCTGAGGACGACCGTTTGTGTTATGGTCGAAACGTCGTGAGAATTTTTATTGTTTTATATATATTTTATTATTTTATTGTTTCCCTTCAACGTGACTTTACCGAAAGAGCTAAGAATACGAATTGCTGCAGTCACGAAAGCTTTAAATAAAAATTTAGATTTTCATTGTCGAGGAAGTAGGCTGTTGTTGAGAGGCGAATGACGAAGATGGGAGGATGAAAGTGAACGATTAAGTAGAGGAGATGATTCAATCATGCGTGGGCTGTCAAGCGTTTCCCATGAAGCGAGCATGATGGAGGGGAATCTTTAACATCTTCGAATGTCGTGAATCTTTGAGTTTGGTGCCAGTGACACGACACGCACCTTCAACACGCCATATCATCGCGCGTTCGTTCAGACGATTTGACGGATTGTCCGAAACAATGCAAGTCTCGAACAACCCCAACACGTGCTGTATAATTCTAATACACGCCCATTGTCCATGCTATTATTATTATTACTATAGCATTGTATTAAGACTTTAAAAAAAAACATATCCGTGACGTGGCTGTAATAGTAGCACGATCGGTTCGCACGATCGTCGAACTGATTTGTTCCAGTCTCATCGAAAACTTGTTCAGAACATTAGCTTGCTTCCAATGCCGAAACAAGAAGCACTGTCCGATTGGAGAATATATTTTTTGTCACGATACACATTCACTAAATAATACATTTCCAGGCCAGGCCGCCAAGTTTTACCTGCCCTCGCCTGGATTTATGCCCGGCAACAATGCACCTTCCCTGGGTGAATTTACTAGGCTGCAGGGGGTAGTGACCGTGATAATAGGAATAACGTGTTGTTATTTTACTTATCTAAGAAAGTCTTCACCGAGTTTGCATACACTTTTGGTCCAATTCCTTTATAGGTGGCCCCTTGTGTGTGGTGGGACACTGAGGTACTGACAGCAAGGGCGACATGTCCACAGAAGGGGCAAAAACACTCGACGGCCCGCAGATCTTGATAAACTGCATCCACTGCACACAAAATCACGGCAGCAATAGAGGCGAATGATCCCTGATGAACAAATGGATTTTTTGTTAAACTCTCCAGTCACAGTGTGCGACTGTGGTCGTCCATAACAGCCTGTAACAATGAGTAGTGACGCAATGCCCCGATCCACAAATACGAAAGAGACATCACAGCGAAACACAACTCCCGCTGATCCTGCTAGCGCGGTTATCTGGCTTGACCACCTGAAGTTCTGAACGCGAGATTGTAGTTTTTGCTCTGCATATATTCATAATCAGCCGTACAACAAGAAAGAAGAAGACAGATCTTGCTGTGCCAGTCATTTTCTGACCCATCTCGTAGCCCAGCCAGGTTAGAAAGTTTTATGAATTTCGATGCGGTCTACAGACACTTGCTCCCCACAACTATTGTATTACATTCATCTGCCACCGAACTATTTGCTTCATTGCTGTAATTATTTTTCATCTGTTTTGCTTTCGTTGTTGCTGACCCACCTCACTTGCAAATTATACTAATCTTTGTATCTTAAGATATCACCTGGTGAAATAATAATAATAATAATCTTGACCTGGATACTGGATCACGTTCACTAGACTTCTACACGACCAATATGGCTTATAAATAACCAACGTGGCCTCTATAAGACACCGCTTCTGTAGGATCAATAAGGTCGTCTATAAGACCAACATAGCCTCTATAGAACAAATATAAAACATATATGGCTTCTATAAAACCAAGATGGCCTATATAGGACCAATATGACCTCTATAGGTCCAACGTGGTTTCAACAGGACCAACATACCCTCAAGAGGACTAATATGACGCCTCCAGGAACATTATGGTGTCTCTAGGAAATATACGGCATCTCTGAGTAGGGCATACATGATGAAGGAGGGTCAGTTGTTGAAATAATCCAGCGACCAAGGGAAAGACCAAAGACCGGAGGGTGGGAGACTGTTATGGGAAATCTTGGATGCCACGTGTCTACTGTGTGGCAGCTGAGGGATCCAAGAAAGGGTCGATATTCTTTTTTCACTATTTTTGTATTTTATCAGGTTAGGCCCACTGAACTATAAAGCTATTTTTCAGAAGCGACCTTGCTATCACAAATGATAGCTCAATGAAGTGGCCTATCATGTGGAAATGTATCGCAGCCAAATACTCTAAAAATGCATGTTATAAATGTAGAGGGAAAACCGAAGGACCAGGAAAAAAATATGCTTGACTACGGGGAGAGAGACATGCAAACTCCAAATATACATCAGGCATCGTCAGGGTCGGGATGGAACCAGGCGAGCTAGTTAACGTCTCACCACCGCAGCTCCCATGGGCAAGGTGTGGTAACACCAAGAGCTCTGGCCATGATAGCATATTAACCAAGGACATATAGTGCCTCTATAGGTCCAATGTAGCCTCTCCAGGTCCAATCTACCCTCTGCAGTTCCAATCCAGCCTCTGCAGCTCTGATACAGTCTCTCCAGGTCCAATGCAGCCTCTGTAGGTCCAATCTTCCCTCTGCAGCTCCGATACAGCATCTGTAGGTCCAATCTACCCTCTCCAGGTCCAATGCAGCATCTGCGGGTGCAATAACGGCCTCTGGAGGTCCAATATCAGCCTCTGCAGGTCCAATAACGGCCTCTGCTGGTCCAATAACGGCCTCTGCAGGTCCAATATCAGCCTCTGTTGGTCCAATAACGGCCTCTGCAGGTCCAATAACAGCCTCTGCAGGTCCAATAACGGCCTCTGCAAGTCCAATAACGGCCTCTGCAGGTCCAATAACGCCCTCTGCAGGTCCAATAACGGCCTCTGCAGGTCCAATAACGGCCTCTGCAGGTCCAATAACGGCCTCTGCAGGTCCAATAACGACCTCTGCAGGTCCAATAACGGCCTCTGCTGGTCCAATAACAGCCTCTGCAGGTCCAATAACGGCCTCTGCAGGTCCAATAACGGCCTCTGCAGGTCCAATAACGGCCTCTGCAGGTCCAATAACGGCCTCTGCAGGTCCAATAACGACCTCTGCAGGTCCAATAACGGCCTCTGCAGGTCCAATGCAGCCTCTGCGGGTGCAGTACCGCCTCTACAGGTCCAATAACGGCCTCTGCAGTGACTTATATGTCGCAGAGTGGTTTGTCTTGAGTTTGGCTATCGGGGGAATGCGATGACCCCTCCTCACTCGTGCTGCCACTGGGCCGGCAGGTGCTGGGGAACTTGTCCCTGTTGTTCTCCTTCTTCCACTTCATGCGCCGGTTCTGGAACCAGATCTTGACCTGGCGCTCGCTGAGGCCCAGCACGTGGGACACCTCGATGCGCCGCTTGCGCGTCAGGTACGGGTTGAAGAGGAACTCCTTCTCCAGCTCCAGGGTCTGGTAGCGGCTGTAGGTCTGGCGGCCTCGCCTGCGCGCAGGCCCTGCAAGGGTCAACATGTCACCGTCAGCATCATCGTCATCATCGTCGTCGTGATCACCAGCCATGATCTAAAATAATTTAAACTTTTTTTGTATTTTACCAGATAAGGCCCACTGAGCTCTATAGCTCCTTTTTCAGAAGCGACCTGGCCACAAGCGATAGCCGAACAAAGTGCCGTATCATCATGTGGAAATGTATAGAAGCCAGATACTACAAAGCTGGAGGGGAAAATCGGAGGACCCCTAGAAAAATTTCACACGGAACACGGGGAGAACATGCAAACTCCAAATATACAGCAGGTGTCAGAGTCGGGATCGAACCAACAATGTTCTGTCCACCAGGTGAGGTAGTTAACATGTCGCCACTGGATGAAGGCCTTTCCCAAGCAGTCACCACGTCGAATGGTCTTGCGATGCGACGCGCAATGCTGTTGAACACCTGCACACGATCTGATTTCGTTGTTCTGACACCGTGGTGGACGCAGTGGCATAACGAGAGTGTGGGCAGGGGTGCCTTGCCCACCCTCTGGTGGTCAATGCTACCAAATTGGGGCCCCCTTGAAAACCACCACGAGATATGTTTTCAACAACAGTGTCAAGAACAACAAATTATTTAAAACGCGGTTTAATTTTTATGAATGAAATTTACATCCATTTACTTTCCACGTTCTATTTAAATGCAATGTAGAGCTGTCACGTAATATTGCAAAGAGGTACGACGGAGCAGTGGTGGATGCATTTTGCAAAAGACGGAGTGCAGTGCCCCTACAGCGTTAAATGTCCGGGACCGGGAGCGTAACGATGTGATTAGGCGACAGGAACCGCGATCTATATGAGCCCAAGGTGCGACCGTGTGAGACAAAATCAAATATTGGGGCCCCACCTGGCCGATTGCCGCACCCCCATGAGCTGATAATGTAGTCACTACACCACTGATAACGTAGTCACTACACCACTGATAATGTAGTCACTACACCACTGATAATGTAGTCACTACACCACTGATAATGTAGTCACTACACCACTGATAATGTAGTCACTACGCCACTGATAATGTAGTTACTACACCACTGATAATGTAGTCACTACACCACTGATAATGTAGTCACTACACCACTGATAATGTAGTCACTACACCACTGATAATGTAGTCACTACACCACTGATAATGTAGTTACTACACTACTGATAATGTAATAACTACACCACTGATAATGTAGTCACTACACCACTGATAATGTAGTCACTACACCACTGATAATGTAGTCACTACACCACTGATAATGTAGTCACTACACCACTGATAATGTAGTCACTACACCACTGATAATGTAGTCACTACACCACTGATAATGTAGTCACTACACCACTGATAATGTAGTCACTACACCACTGATAATGTAGTCACTACACCACTGATAATGTAGTTACTACACCACTGATAATGTAGTCACTACACCACTGATAATGTAGTCACTACACCACTGATAATGTAGTCACTACACCACTGATAATGTAGTCACTACACCACTGATAATGTAGTCACTACACCACTGATAATGTAGTCACTACACCACTGATAATGTAGTTACTACACCACTGATAATGTAGTTACTACACCACTGATAATGTAGTTACTACACCACTGATAATGTAGTCACTACACCACTGATAATGTAGTCACTACACCACTGATAATGTAGTTACTACACCACTGATAATGTAGTCACTACACCACTGATAATGTAGTCACTACACCACTGATAATGTAGTCACTACACCACTGATAATGTAGTCACTACACCACTGATAATGTAGTTACTACACCACTGATAATGTAGTCACTACACCACTGATAATGTAGTCACTACACCACTAATAATGTAGTCACTACACCACTGATAATGTAGTCACTACACCACTGATAATGTAGTCACTACACCACTGATAATGTAGTTACTACACCACTGATAATGTAGCACTACACCACTGACAATGTAGTCACTACGCCACTAATAATGGAGTTACTACACTACTAATAATGTAGTCACTACACCACTGATAATGTAGTCACTACGCCACTGACAATGTAGTTACTACACCACTGATAATGTAGTCACTACACCACTAATAATGTAGTCACTACGCCACTGATAATGTAGTCACTACGTCACTGATAATGTAGTTACTACGCCACTGATAATGTAGTCACTACACCACTGACAATGTAGTTACTATGCCACTGATAATGTAGTCACTACACCACTGATAATGTAGTCACTACACCACTGATAATGTAGTCACTACACCACTGATAATGTAGTTACTACACCACTGATAATGTAGTCACTACGCCACTGATAATGTAATCACTACACCACTGATAATGTAGTTACTACGCCACTGATAATGTAGTTACTACACCACTGATAATGTAGTCACTACGCCACTGATAATGTAGTCACTACACCACTGATAATGTAGTTACTACGTCACTGATAATGTAGTCACTACACCACTGATAATGTAGTCACTACACCACTGATAATGTAGTTACTACGTCACTGATAATGTAGTCACTACACCACTGATAATGTAGTTACTACGTCACTGATAATGTAGTCACTACGCCACTGATAATGTAGTTACTACGCCACTGATAATGTAGTCACTACACCACTGATAATGTAGTCACTACGCCAGTGATAATGTAGTCACTATGCCACTGATAATGTAGTCACTACACCACTGATAATGTAGTTACTACGCCACTGATAATGTAGTCACTACACCACTGATAATGTAGTTACTACGCCACTGATAATGTAGTTACTACGCCACTGATAATGTAGTTACTACACCACTGATAATGTAGTCACTACACCACTGATAATGTAGTTACTACGTCACTGTTAATGTAGTCACTACACCACTGATAATGTAGTCACTACACCACTGATAATGTAGTTACTACGCCACTGATAATGTAGTTACTACACCACTGATAATGTAGTCACTACACCACTGACAATGTAGTCACTACGCCACTGATAATGTAGTTACTACGCCACTGATAATGTAGTTACTACACCACTGATAATGTAGTCACTACACCACTGACAATGTAGTCACTACGCCACTGATAATGTAGTCACTACACCACTGATAATGTAGTCACTACACCACTGATAATGTAGTCACTACACCACTGATAATGTAGTCACTACGCCACTGACAATGTAGTCACTACGCCACTGATAATGTAGTCACTACACCACTGATAATGTAGTCACTACACCACTGATAATGTAGTCACTATGCCACTGATAATGTAGTCACTAAGCCACTGATAATGTAGTCACTACACCACTGAAAATGTAGTCACTACACCACTAATAATGTAGTTACTACACCACTGATAATGTAGTCACTACGCCACTGATAATGTAGTTACTACACCACTGATAACGTAGTTACTAAGCCACTGATAATGTAGTTACTACGCCACTGATAATGTAGTCACTACTCCACTGATAATGTAGTCACTACGCCACTGATAATGTAGTCACTACACCACTGATAATGTAGTCACTACGCCACTGATAATGTAGTCACTACACCACTGATAATGTAGTTACTACGCCACTGATAATGTAGTCACTACACCACTGATAATGTAGTTACTACGCCACTGATAATGTAGTCACTACACCACTGATAATGTAGTCACTACCCCACTGATAATGTAGTCACTACACCACTGATAATGTAGTCACTACGCCACTGATAATGTAGTTACTACACCACTGATAATGTAGTCACTACGCCACTGATAATGTAGTCACTAACCCACTGATAATGTAGTTACTACGTCACTGATAATGTAGTCACTACACCACAGATAATGTAGTTACTACACCACCGATAATGTAGTTACTATTCCACTGATAATGTCGTTGATACCCCACTGTAAAGAGCTGTCGACCTTCTCCAGAATTCGGTCCTGGGCCTCCCCTAGGTCGACTCAGCCTTAGATGAGTACCCCCGGTGCGGTGTGGCAAAGGCGCGCATACGAACACCCCGAGCGCACGTGGTGCGTGCTGTCGCGAGGCTCAGCGCGGCAATTACCGGTAAGGTAATCGACCTCGGTACAAGATTATACCCTGCCACCCGAACACAGGGGCCAATTTCCGGCGCTGATAGCAACGGTCCAGCCACCCGTGAAGAAGGCACGGGGTCCGCGCTCCAGGGTCCTTGGTTGCTGAAAGCGACCTGCAAATTCGAATTGTTCAACGAGAAAATTTCAAATTCGTCTGAGAGATCCGCGGGGCACAGCCTCGGTGCATGGCTACAAGAGAAGCGCGCTAACTAACTAACTAACCACTACACTACCGCTCCCCCTCCTCCCCTCCCCTTATACACACACCGCTTACACACACGCCCATGCGTCACAAGCTACCCCAGGTACTATGCTATACTCATTGAAGGCTGCGTCGACCTAGGTGGAGAGTCCCATATCAACAAAGATCCCCCGTATAACCTTAACAGCCTGTTGGGGCAAGTGCTGTTAACGAGCACCTATGAAGGCCGACACGGCACACGAGGGGGTGGGTGGCCAGCACCACGCCCGACCGCCTTTGTCTCCCCAGTGGCGATGTTTACGCACCGCACCAGGTACTAATTTGAGGCTGAGTCGACCTAGGGGAGGCCTAGGAACGGCTCTGAAAATCGTCTCCGGTGTCGGCCGTGAGCCGGAGGCGAACTCGGCTCGTCGGGATCGGAGCGCAGCGAGCTAACCATTGCCGGATTAAGCGAATGCAGTGCCTGTAACAAAGGTTATAAAGGGGCCCTAAATATAACTTGCATAGCAAAGTAATTGTATTCTTTTCATTTGCTATACAACCAGATAATACGACAAATCGTTAACCTTAAACACCCAGTCGTTCATAAAAGTTGAAGGCGGTATAGTGCTATAGTAATAGAGCAAGTGCAGAATCACTGGACCGGAATTGATAGCTTGAAAGCGTTTAGCGCGGGGCCCGTAGCATCTACTCTTTGGTTCTTTCGGTAAAGTCACGGAGGTAGAAACAATAATAGATCCCGACGTTTCGATCGCAGCAAGACGGTGGCTTTACCAACAAGACGGTGGCTTTACCAACAAGACGCTGGCTTTACCAACAGGACGGTGGCTTTACCAACAAAACGGTGGCTTTACCAATAAGACGGTGGCTTTACCAACAAGACGGTGGCTTTATCAACAAGACGGTGGCTTTACCAACAGGACGGTGGCTTTACCAACAAGACGGTGGCTTTACCAACAAGACGGTGGCTTTACCAACAGGACGGTGGCTTTACCAACAAGACGGTGGCTTTACCAACAAGGCGGTGGCTTTACCAACAAGACGGTGGCTTTACCAACAGGACGGTGGCTTTACCAACAAAACGGTGGCTTTACCAACAGGACGGTGGCTTTACCAACAAGACGGTGGCTTTACCAACAAAACGGTGGCTTTACCAACAAGACGGTGGCTTTACCAACAAGACGGTGGCTTTACCAACAAGACGGTGGCTTTACCAACAAGATGGTGGCTTTACCAACAGGACGGTGGCTTTACCAACAGGACGGTGGCTTTACCAACAAGACGGTGGCTTTACCAACAAGACGGTGGCTTCGCCAACAAGACGGTCGCTTTACCAACAAGACGGTGGCTTTACCAACAAGACGGTGGCTTTACCAACAGGACGGTGGCTTTACCAACAAAACGGTGGCTTTACCAACAAGACGGTGGCTTTACCAACAAAACGGTGGCTTTGCCAACAAGACGGTGGCGTTACCAACAAGACGGTGGCTTTACCAACAAGACGGAGGCTTGTCGCGATCGAAACGTCGCGATCTATTATTGTTTCCACCTACGTGACTTTACCGAAAGAACCAAAGAGCATGGATTCCTGCAGTCACGAAAGCTTCAAATCAAGCCCGTAGCTACTTACGTAGCTACTTTTGCTACTAGGATCATTCGGGCACAGGCTACAACCACCGCTACGCACCAACACACTCGCACAAACAACACGCGCGCGCGTCAAACCTTGGGGTCTCATCCACGGGAAGACCGAGCCGCCCGCGTCTCCGCCCCGCGCGGCGCCCACCTCGACCCCCTCGACCCCCGCTCCGCCTCGCCCCCGTGCGCCGGGCGAGGCGGCTCCGTAGGGGGCGGTCGGGTCGAGCAACCTCGGGTAGCCGGAGTCCGACGTTTCGCCCTCGAAGGGCGGCACCCCGTGGTAGCCGAGTCCGTAGGGGGCCCCGTTGAAGCCCCCCACGCCGAAGCCCCCGGCCCTGTCGAAGGTCCCTCCGGAGTGGTCGCCGGCGGCCGCGCTGCGCATCGCGGCTTCGTGAGCGGCGAAGCGGCAGTCGAAGTATCCCGCGTGGAGCGAATCTTCAAAGTACGAGCTCATGGTCGTGTGTGGCGTGCGTGGTGTGTGGAGAGAGACGAGAGGCGAACCTGTACGGGTCACTGCTAGCTTGAATGCACACAGTAGGGGGGGGGGGGGGATGGCGGTGTAGCTGCTGTAGCTGTTGTTGTTGTTGATGCGTAGGTTGTGGTTGTTGTGGTCGTTGTTGTTTGTTGTTGAGCGGCTGACGTTGATGCAGCACGGGCTATTACAGTTGTAGCAGTAGTTGTTGTTTATACTTTGTTGTTGTTGAAGATTGTTGTTGCTGTTGATCCGGCTATTTATGATGCATACGGGTCTATTACTGTTGTTGTTGGTTTAAGTTGTTGTGGGCCGATCGCTATTGTGAAAGGTAATAGGGGCTAAGCTGATGCTAATGTTCCGGCTGAGTTGTGATCAATAATGTTAATTGAATTATAATCGAATAACTATAAATTAGAAGAGTGTCATAATAACTATTAGGATTATAGGAATATACAATGTCGCGTTATATGTTAAAATGTTTACATTCGTGTACAAGTGACTAATAGTTAATGCCGTCAAAATCTTAATTTAACTCAAATTGACTGCATAATTATTAATTATATTGATTAATAAGATTAGGCATGAATTAATTAGTGCTTACAATCACGAAGAAGCTCAATATTCAATTATGTTATGTACCAGTCCGAACAAATATGAAATGGTATAATTCATAAGTTATAAAACACGGCAAACCTTTTAACACAATTACCAAACTGAAATCATGCTAATTGCCAATTAAGCAGATTAATAAACACGACGCGACTTATAACTAATTAACACGAGTCAATAATATAATTGATACTGATAACAATTATAATACAAATATGAACAATGAATCAACTTGAGTAATATTATTATTTAAAGCAAATCACAATTACTCGGAGTGAACTCAAAAGCCAATTAATGTATACACACAGCTTAATAGGCGCAACAGATTAAAGAATAATAATTATTACAACTTTACGTAATTAATATTGATAGCAATAACAACCTACGTTAAATGTACAAGCGTGTTCAAGATATATTGGCGACTGCATGATAATAGACTTTATTCAAACATGATTTGAGTAACGGCTGCAAGACCTAAACTCCTCAACGATACTGGCGTTTAACGATAAGGGTATTTTCTTCGAGATTTAAAAAAACAACTACTATCGTAACTTTAACTATACCATTACATTGTTTTACCAACTTGTTTAACACTAAATATGCTTTAGCTATCTTCCTGCGCGTGAAGGCAGCAATGATGTTCAGGAGCTAAATGTGAATGTTGAGGTCTGCTGCTGCTGGCCACCACGACGAGAGGGCTTCATCAGAGAGAGAGAGTTCGTCTCGTGTCGCTCTTCCTCCTCCTCCTCAGTAGAAGGAGCGCAGACCACCACGGTGGATTTAACCGTACGGTATTAGCGACCGCTCTTTCTCCGCTGATTCTCACGAGGGCATTAAGCTATCAGCTCTCCGAACGCACACTATACAATCGCATTAATTAAGCAATGTTCCATACGCTACAGAAATAAAGATACAAAATATATATTCAGAAAGTACGCTACACGACTAAACACAACATTAGAATATTTTAGTCTGCAGGAATGTTTTTTTTTTAAACAAATGTGGAATCAACAACTATTCACTAAACTCATAATGACTTTGTCAACTACTGGAGGACACTGCAGAGTTAGTTCTTCTCGTACCCTCGTTGAGATCGGAAGTGAGGGGTGCACGCGTCCGTCTCCTCCTGCGCCTCCTGCTCGGACAGATGCCACGTGGCTTCAACGCTCGCGTCTTGACGAGACGGAGGCGCTCAAGTCACGGCAGCAGCTCGAGAAGCGAGGGGACAAACTCTTTAAGCAGCGGAGTTTGGACAGCAGCAGCAGCAGGCGGCCAACTGCGCCCCTTCCACCACCTTCCCGTCACTCCCGAAGCCCCTCTAAATGTATTCCTGGGCACGTTCAGCTCGAAAACCTGCTCAGTCTCACCTTGAGATGCCCCCACCCTCCTTCACCTCCCCCAGAGCCCCGCCCACCCTCCTCCACCACCACAAGACAAAGATCCCCCGTGTAGCCTGTAACAGACTGTTGGGGCAAGTGCTGTTAACGAGAAGCACCCTATGAAGGCCGGCATGGCACACGAGGGGGTGGGTGGCACCACGCCCGGCCGCCTTTTGCACCCCCCCCCCCCCCCCCCCCCCCCAGTGGCGATGTGCTTACACGCAGAACCAGGTATTGATTGTGAGGCTGAGTCGACCTAGAGGAGGCCCAGAACCGGTTCAGATATCCCTCACCGATGTTGGTCGTGAGCGGGTTAATCCAACACGGGCCGCGCTAACCGCTGCGCCGCCGCTCCTCCCCGCCACCCCACCACGCACAGTAGAATTTGAGTTTCGCGAGCACAAACACGAAGCGTTTGGGGGACAAATTATTCAAGGTCATCAGAAACAAATTAATGGGGGCTGTTCGCGTCGAGTTGTAGCGTTGCCACCTTTATTTTCCACGCGGTGTACCGCGTCGACTCTAGGGCAGAAATTCGAGGTCGATTATCTAAACTGCGTTGCGGTCTTCCTGCAATGACGGCCAATTGACAAATACTCAAAACTGTTAAACTATCTAAACGATGTATGTTTGTGTTGTAACGCCCACCGAGCTATACAGCTCTTTGTGCAGAAGCCACCTGGCCACAAATGATGGCTCAACGAAGCGGCTTACCATCGTGTGGATATTTACAGCAGCCAAATACTCTAAAGGCTGCGATGTTGATTCTATATGAGGAGGGAAAAACCCGGAGGACCTGGAGAAAAATCCACGCGATCACGATGCCAGCCAGACACGCAAACTCCAAATATACAGCAGCAGGCGTCAGGGTCGGGATCGAACCCGTGAGCTCCTGCATACCAGGCAAGGGAGTTAACATCTCGCCAACTGCAGCACGAGACGTCGGTACAAATCACTGCTTGCCACCAGCACAACAGATGCCAATCTCCCGAATTGTCCGGGTCAAGCTATCGTCCCGGGTGAAACCCGGACTGGTGGCAACCTTAGTTCGTACACAGGCCAGCACCATGCATGAGTAAATCACCTGGAATGCGTGAGAGCGATCTGGCAAGCGAGGCAAAGTTGAACCTGGATCGTATTCGTATGAGGAATGACTGCGCCAGGCTTTCCAAGATCGTTCAAATACGAATTCGGTCGTTTCACGCTGCACGCGCATGATGATAGTGAAACACAGCGCCACTGGGCGTGGAACACGCGTACACGCGCACGCGCTGAGATCTCAATCTCCAATTGATTCGCCTCTGCGAACGCACACGTCGCCAATTGCTGAGCGCGTCACGTGTTTAACAATCATCGGGCGCGTGCAGCGTGGAACGAGCGGTGGTGGGCCGCGAAGGCTGGCGTGAAAAGAATACCTGCGACTGTGCATCAGAGGTGCTATAGGCTGCTACGGGGCCTGTACGTTGTTGGCAGCAGACGAGAGTGCAGTGTTGTGATGCAGCTCTGATTCAAGACTACGCTCCCACACCTCCACGAACCCGCGACAACCATCGCGCGGCGCTTTCGGATGCGCCTCTGCGGCCGTCTGGAACGCTCTTCCTGCTTCCGATATGAGGAAGCCACTGAAGCTAGGCAATTTTAAATCGTCCAGAATGTGAAAACTCGTTTCTTGAAAACTGATTTTTTGTTGTGTTTAGTTTGTTGTCATTTTCCCTCCTGCACATCCGATGAGCGCGGTTGTCTACGTGCGGTGCGAAAGAAGTTCAACAAAATACTACCCATAGACTAACACTACTCCATAGACTAACACTACCCATAGACTAACACTACTCCATAGACTAACACTATCCATAGACTCAACACTACCTATAGACTAACACTACCCATTAGACTAACACTATCCATAGACTCGACATTGCCCATAGACTCAACACTGCACCTCCGATGAGCAGAGTTGGCTACGTACGGTGCGAAAGAAGTTCAACAAACATACTGCCTATAGACTAACACTAGCCCATAGACTCGACATTGCCCATAGACTGGACATTGCCCATAGACTCAACACTGCACCTCCGATTAGCAGGGTTGGCTACGTACGGTGCGAAAAAAGTTAAAAAAACATACTGCCCATAGACTAACACCACCCATAGACTAACACTATCCATAGACTAACACTACCCCATAGACTAACACTACCCATAGACTAACACTACCCCATAGACTAACACTACCCATAGACTAACACTACCCAGAGACTTACACTACCACCTAGACTAACACTATCCATAGACTCAACAACTGCCCATAGACTCAACACTGCCCATAGACTCAACACTATCCATAGACTAACACTACCTATAGACTAACACTGCCCATAGACTCAACACTATCCATAGACTTAACACTATCCATAAACTAACACTACCCATAGACTAACGCTACCCATAGACTAACACTACCCAGAGACTAACACTACCCATAGACTAACACTATCCATAGACTAACACTACCTATAGACTAACACTACCTATAGACTCAACACTATCCATAGACTTAACACTATCCATAGACTTAACACTATCCATAGACTAACACCACCCATAGACTAACACTACCCATAGACTAACACTACCCATAGACTAACACTATCCATAGACTAACACTACCCATAGACTAACACTACCCATAGACTAACACTACCCATAGACTAACACTACCCATAGACTAACACTACCTATAGACTAACACTGCCCATAGACTCAACACTATCCATAGACTAACACTATCCATAGACTAACACTACCCATAGACTAACACTACCCATAGACTAACACTACCCATAGACTAACACTACCCCATAGACTAACACTGCCCATAGACTAACACTACCCATAGACTAACACTGCCCATAGACTCAACACTATCCATAGACTTAACACTATCCATAGACTAACACTACCCATAGACTAACGCTACCCATAGACTAACACTACCCAGAGACTAACACTACCCATAGACTAACACTATCCATAGACTAACACTACCTATAGACTAACACTACCTATAGACTCAACACTATC